CACTCTCAAATCACGAAAGCAGTTTCCATGACTAGAATGAAGTTTCAAAATGTTTTGAAGATCATCGCATTGTCCATCTGTTTTGAAGAGATTGGTTTTCACGAGTCAAAATGAAACGGGTGATATAGTGCGGTGCAGAAGAAGGGAATTGGAAAAGTTGGTTATAACATCATAACAAGACAAGTTTAAAATCTCACCTTTAATTCTAACAGATGAGCTTCATCCCTAGTTTGCAGAAGGCAGGAATCGAATAATTGTTTTATCAAAACATTCAGCAGTCTTTGTTTAGTTTCATTTATACCAGTCCTTAGTAAACTGAGTTCTATTTTTTAGCGTTGATTCGTTTCGGCTCCTTCTTATTCACTCAAAAATCTTCGTATCTGTTTCACGTGAAAACAATAACGTGACCTATGGAACTGAATGGGTCAAACCCCATTTGTTTCAGTTGTGATTTTGTTGGATGTACGATCATCAAGAAATTTCACTTACTTCAACATCATTTCTACTAGGCGCAATTTTACTCTTCGGATGGTGGTTTAGTCGCTGTCACCTGCGTACTTCGGACCCTATGTTCCGAGGTTCGAGCCCCGCCGCCACCACTCAATTTTGTTGGTAGGCAGCTTTGCTGTCGTCCCGTTCAATACCTTTCCAAATCTAGCGGGGCGTTTTGTGGTTCACTCCATTCCAAGTCCCGGGGATCAGGTTGCCGGTTACCAGTACTGAACGGCAGCAGGTCCTCATAACCATGGGGCTTTCAGGGTAATGGTCCAGTCCATCCGTTGTTTTACATTCAGTTAATGATAGTGGTCAGTGTTAGCACACTGATTGATTTTTTCAACGTGCACACACGTACCTCTTGTTCTGAGTTCTCAACGTGGTTGATATACCATTCTACTCGTTTAATGTTTCCCTCAGACATATGCAAAAACAATACAAAACCCTTCTGGATTCGGTCAGACAGTTTTCCACGGGGTTTGCAAAAACAGTCCAGTCACAGAGGCAATTCGCTTGCCATTTGGCCCATCTGGGTCAACAACAAATGGAGCTCACAGCGGAGTTTGCCTACAACGCGGAAACTCAACGTATGGCTGTTCTGCGTGGCGAGAAACTCTTAGGTGAGAACGGTTAAAATTTTATTTGTTTGTTTGTTTTTATCAGGTTCATTGGCACGATTTAATTGGATACTTTGATACTTCGATTACTTTCGTGCAGTTTACTCTATTTAAACTTGGAGCATTTTCTGAAAGTGATCGAAAAAAGAGAGGTTTTAAAAACATTCTTCACATTAGGGAACGGTCCATGCACGGTTGACCAAAGAGATACAAACAAGAAGTCTAGTGATATTAATGTTATCACGAGAGATGAAATGCATTTTTAATTTGTCAAGTTTTAATTTGAAAATAAATTCGAGATTTGGTCCATATTGAGTTCGCCATGCACTTAGCCAGCCCTTTCTATTCAATATCTGTTCACCTCATAAAACCATGACTCCCACACTTCCATCCTCCATTTCTAGTCGCATTCTTTTGGCGAATCGTTTTATCAGGCAAAAACAAACGCTTGGGAGTAAAAAAACCCGGTACCGTGTCCAGAACACAGTTGCAACTAATAAGAAACCGTCAAACCCTAACCAGGAGACTAGGTCACATAGGCCCCGTTAGGCTCCCTGGCTGGGGACCTCTGTTGTTTCAGCAACGTGTGAAATCACTGTGATGGGGTATTCTTAACCCCGAGATGATGGTCGACTGATGGTTAGCTCCACTGAGTGATATGGCTGGGTGTCGCAAACAGTGGCGCTCGTGCATCCACTCGTTATTTTCCTAACACTATATGCATTCCCCATCTTCCGCTTGAATTTGCCTCGACATTCCAATCTTCATTCCGCTATTTTATCCAAATGGGCAACCAAAACCGGCGCATGAAAGTGCATGGTTAATGGTTGTAAAATTGAAACTGAAACTGAAACACGCTCAAAAGTGATCAGGTGCACAGGCCACTTGCAGTACAAAGCTGACTTTCTCCGATCAAGTGACCAAAACTGTCGACTTGAGTCGTCCCACTTGTGAGTTAGCTTCGAATCCCCAGCTGCGACTTGAGAGATACTAATTTCATCTGTGTGCTCAAGCTACAGCACACTACTCGTAATTATGTTCACTGATGAAATCCTCCCCTATCCCATACAAATAAAGAGATAAAAAGTCCACGTTACACGCATTGGAAGTTATCACCACCACGTGCGGAGTTTTCAGTAATCGCGGTCACCCACTGGTGCAAGTGGTTGACCTCCATAGATTACGCTGTCACCAGATAGGTTGCCACGGCGAACGATGTTTGCCGAGGCAGGTAGCGGTTGGAAAAAGATCAAGGGCGGTCGAACTAAGACCTCGTATGAGGATATGAAAATCCTAAACCGGNGAGTCTGTGTCACATAGGTCCCGTCAGGTTTCCTGACTGGGGACCCCGGGATCATGGTAGCCGGTGGTATCACACCCGGTGGCGCTCATGCATCTACTAATTATTCTTGCAATCGCAGTCTATATGAATTATCTGTCTTCCGATTGAATTTGCTCTTAACACTCTAATCTTCATTCTGCTCTTTTATCGAAATGGGTGGCCTAAAGAAAGCAACCAAAACCGGCTCAAAGAAGTGTATGGTTAATGGTTGTAAAAACTAAACTGAACTACACGCGGGGAATTTCACTTTTCGCTTTCGATCCGTTTGTACGTCTGTCATAACCACAAGTATTCTGGTTTAATCAATATTAACTTGGTTGTTCACAAGTTATGAGATCTGTTTAGAAGCTCATCACGATTGATCGTGATTGAGGTACTTCAGATAACATGTGAATAATGGAAGATTTTGATGCCATATCGTAGGATGAATTCCTAGTATATAGAGCATATACAGCATGAACTAAAAAGCTAAGAAGCCCGCAACAAGCTGACAAAGATGGGTTGTGGTATATGGTGTAAATAGGAAATAAAAAATACTGTCTGATCAGCCGCCCGGTGACCGAGTGGGTAATATGCTTGCGTTCTGCATGTGGTTAGGTCCCGGGTTGCAAGAAATTGATGCACGAACGCCACTGTTTACGACACCCAGCCATATCGCTCAGTGTCTCTAACCATCGACGATTCGAACAGAAAATGGAGAAGTTCAGTGGACTAAGGTTGGAAAGAAATTGAGAAGATGCAAATGGAGAAGTTCAGTGGACTAAGGGTGGGAAGAAATTGAGAAGATGCACGAACGCCACTGTCGGAGAAGTTCAGTGGACTAAGGTTGCAAAGAAAGTGAGGAGATGCACGAACGCCACTGTTTAAAAGGTTGCAAAGAAATTGAGGAGATGGACGAACGCCACTGTTTACGACACCCAGCCATATTGCTCAGTGTCTCTGACCATCGGTTACGATCATCCCGAGGTCCCCAGCCAGGGAGCCTAACAGGACCTATGTGACCTAGCCCTTAGCTTTTGCCACTCGGTATCTGCTTCGGTCCGTGGTAACCTACCTGGTGACATGCGTAACACATGTCCCAACCAACGTAATCTATGGAGGTCGATCACTTACTCCAGTGGGCGACCGTATTTACTCAAAACACTGCCCCTAACCTCAGCATTGCTCCTCCGGCTACCCCACCAGATTCGTGCAATGCTGCGTAGACAGCGGTGTTCAAACACCGACAGTCTGTCTTTATCTTGTTTTCTTAATGGCCAAGTTTTTGCATCGTATAGCNAAGCCTTCTGTATGCGAGCTGACACTTCATCCGTGATGCGTCCACCGGGTGAGATGTAGCTGCTCAAATAACAAAACTTATCCACCTGCTCTATTACTTCTCCAGTAAGAGTGAGGTTGGGTGCTGGACCAACCCAGTCTTGTAGCAACATTTTACACTTTGAAGGTGCAAAACGCATACCGAATATGGCTACACTGTCATTCAAGTTATCCAGAAACGCTTGCAACTTACTTGGATTTTCACTTAGTAGCACAATGTCGTCTGCTACTAAGTGAAGATCCAGGTAAGTCCTGATAGGGGCATGCATAAAGTACGCACTGCTGACGAGTCCCAAACAGGACGAAACAGCTGTCCTGGTGCTCTCTGTCGGTTATCACAAACATTACCAAAACAGCTACATGAAAATGCATGGTTAGGAGTAGTTTAAACTAAACTAAACTAAAAGCTTGTCTCTGTTTGTCCGTCCGTCCGTCTGTCTGTCTGTCTGTCTGTCTGTCTGATACTGTAGGTTGCAGAAAACAACCAATCCACCGCACGAACATTCACGATTGGTGATAAGATGATAATCTGAAGGTGAAACTATCAACAATTGCATTGAAGGCTCTTTTATAGTCGGTGAAACAAATCTGAATAGTTTTTTGTGCTCTTCGATGATCCAAGAAGAACAATTCCCACATGTTAATTTGTCCAAGAGTGAATGTAGTTTATTTATTGGATAACTTGAAAGCGTGAATTTGAAAAAAAATTCATTTGACCAAAACTTAAAACGGTCTGGGGGATAATTTTTTTTTCATTGAAGATTCCCATTGTAACATTTGAGAAGAAGACATGAACTAACGAACAAGCTCGTTGTCGATAACTTCATCATCTGGCTAATACAGTTATATGAATAAGTAAAAGGATAATTTTTTATCTGATGTGTGTTACGATACAGAATGTAGGTGATTGTTTTTTCGGTTGTGTTTTTGTCTATTTCCTGTCAATAAGAACATCCTAAAGAGAATACTACGGGAAAGCTAAATATTTGAAATAAACTGTATTTATGCCACAAGTGCAAATCATCCGGGGTTGACAACCCTCGTTAGTATACGTGACTCCACTTAGCGNCTTAGCGTTGTTCTTTTTAAGTATTTTATACAACAGTACACACAACTTAAGTAGTACAACTTGTTATTTCGTCCTCTGTTAGCCCAGCTTGACCATTAGATCGCAAACGTTTGATCTCCATCCGAGGTGCTCAATGCACAATACAGTGACTGGGTGGACGTTTACGAGTGTCCCTTTCCTAATATATAGGTCGTTGAGTGGTTTAGAGAGGAAAGTGGTTTTCCAAGGCTTTTATTCGCCTCGTGCTGACACTTCCTCGTTGATCGATCCGTCTAATGCGAGTGTCGTTCTGCTTAGNGACTGGTCCCTTTTATTTGTAGAGGAGCGTAGATTTAATCGGTGCTGATGTATCGGTTGACCAAGCTTTAAGAAACTCTCTTGTGTTTGCTGCAGGGTCCGATAAACAATTTGGTAGTTTTCCAGATTGAATTTATGTCCTTAAATTGAGACCAGTATGAGCGCGTCGTGTCTTTTGGTGACTAGTTTTGTATTGATGCACGACATAGCCTATCATCTTATCCCGATTTGACTGATGTACTGTTTGTTCCAGTCTCTGCCGTTGATTCGCGTATCTTGTTTGTTCGATTTTTATCCCCCTTTTTTTTAGTTTTTGACAAGATTCTCTGTAAGGTTGCTATCGGTTTGTGGGCAAATTAAATATTGTGTGGCTTCAGTATTCTGGTAGTCTTTGGTTAGCATATGATAGGGTTACTCTCTATCTTATCCGTCTGTCCTTGTGCGTTATTACGTACTTTGGCATGGATCAGCAAAGTTCGCTGCGCTCTATTTCGCTGTACGGTGTATCAGTGATGTGCTGTTGGGTGCCGCCGATCTGGACCAAACGGCAAACCGTCAGACTACTCGTGTCCACTTTATCCCTTATCGGCTCCAGGAGAATGAAAACTAGCCAATCAGTTGACGCCACCGCTCTCCGCGCCACTCATCACCTACATAAAGAAATAGACGAAATCTCGTCAGTGCTCATCCAGTTACTGAATTGAACCGGTTAGATCGATTATTGGTGGTGAAACATTTGCAATCGAATTGCCAAACTCGACGCACAACGAACATTAGATCTGCTGTTACTTCACGCTTTTTTGTGTCTAAATGACACCAGACAAAGAGGTGTGTTCAATGACAAACAAAACATCCTAACCGACGCATTCTGTCAAGATTTTTGAGTCTTTTTTATCACTGGAATTTCACTGTTTAGGGCCAACTGAAATCGAAACTCGATCAACCATAGTTTTGGAATTTCCACTTCGAATGGTCTGCGAAGTATGCCGTCTGATTGATGACTTTGATTAGTCAGCATAGTGACTATGACGCCAGAGCACGCATGGTCTAACTTCAGCCGAATTCTGGCTGTCAATCGATAATGTGTGTGTATAACTGAGTCGATTAACCAATGAGTACTCGTCCTTGGCGTGGTTTGAAATTTCCGGATGAGCGTGTTTGAATGTGCTACGTGGCTCACCCATTAGGCCATCACTAGTATCTTCGCGCGAGGATAGTGGCACCGATTTGTTCCCCGGGATTAAACTCTGCTATGCAGGCGACGTTGTACTGATAAGTCTGGATCGGTGTAAGTTGCAAGCCTTTCTGGATAGCTTGAATGCTAGTGTAGCCATGTTCGGTATGCGTTTTGCGGTGTTCAAACACCAACAAGCTATCATTATCCTGTTTCCTTAATGGCCAAGCTTCTGCGCCATATAACAGAACAGGCCGAACTGCCGCAGCATACACTCGACCCTTCACAGACAGCCAGATGTCGCGACGGCGCCACAGATGTCTCAAGTTGGCAAATGTCAACCGAGCCTTCTGTATGCGAGCTGACACTTCATCCGTGATGCGTCCATCGGGTGAGATGTAGTTACCCAAATAACAAGACTTATCTGCTTGCTCTATTACTCCCCTGGTTAGAGTGAGCCTAGGTGCTGGACCGACCCAGTCTTGTAGCAACATTTTACACTTTGAAGTTGCAAAAATGGAAACCGAGAAGCTTGCAGCTTACCTGAATCGGTCGCCAAGATCAGACACTTGATACACGCATGCTAACATAACCAGCCACCTGTGCTCCCATGGGTATTTTACTGGGGGACATGTGTTTTCTCGGTCTTG